GGGGGGGGGGGGGTAAAGGCAACGAAGTCAACGATGGGCTCGTTATAAACTGCCGCCTTACTGTATCGAGTCTAGACATCGCACGTCATATACTTGAGATATCTGAGCCCGTCGCTTCCGTGCGTCTCTATCGCCATCGACGATAAGGGGAAGGCATATAAAGGGAATGGAGGGAATATCGAGACTTGGGGCTTGGGATCTGCTCGGGCGAACGCACCTTTCCTTCCTTGTCTCGATCACTAGCTCGGAGTTTTTTTTATTTATTTAAATTTTTATCCACTTTTAAAACGGGATATTTGCATGCAAGGGAACGAACTTTTTCCCCTCTCTACCTGTGGATAATTTGGACTATTGGGCAATTTTCTCTCGATGCTTCGTATTTTTCTGTCGTCAGGCACGAGAAACCTTCCTTCGTTCGTGAAAAAGATGGAAAGTCTCGTTCTTTTGTAAAATTTATTAAATATAATCGAGCGCTTTTGCTCGACTCATGGGGCCGAGGCATTTCATGAAAGAGCCACCAGTCTACTAAAAGTACACCTCTAACGTATTTCAGAGAGATGTTTAAAGAGATGTTCACCATCCATCATTTGTAGACATTTGGTGATCATCATCCATGATTTGATGCGGATTTTCCGGATCGGAGTCGGATTTCGCCTTCAGCGATGGAAGCACTCCTTTTTGGCATATCACTTCTGGTGCCACGAAATGACGTCAAATGGTTTTTTTTTTTTTTTTGCAGACATACCCTGGAGGTGAAGAGGAGGATGGACCGGGAAGACGATGAAGAGTGATTTTTCACCCAAGGAAGATTTTCTTCCGGTTTCTAACCGAGTTTCTCTGAGCCGATTGTGCTTCTATAGTCCAGAATGTGGTTCGAATTCGTATCGAGAATAAAGACACCTCGTGAGTGCCCCATGAGTACCAAACTTGTTCGCGATGAAGGCAATGGTTTTTGAATACGTTCCTGGCTTTTCCAAACTTAAGACTGAAAATTTCCTGTTCATTTTCACTGAAAGATCGATACGTAGTTTGTTTTGTTGCAATCACCGGACACTCGGAAGGAACACAATTCCATTCTGAAGTCGGCTCAGTCTGAAATACATAGGAAGCGTTAACCCTTTCGCTTTGACGGAGGTAACGCGGAAGCATCATAGGTGGGTGGAGAAATGATGGCGCTTGGGGAAGCCGATTTCCGGAAATTCCAGACACGATTCCAATGAAAACGTGTCGGACACATGTCCATCGGCATGCGCTGCGTGACGTCACAGTTTCAAGATGGCGCTCTGCAGTCGAGCACGTGCTGCCCTGTTCGGCGAGGCCCATCTGCATTGAAAGTGGGAAATTCCGCGATTGCTGAGCGAATAGGTGGAATTCCCGATCTCAGATTGTCTATTGTGCGCGAGATTTCAGCATGGAAGCCGAAGTGGAGTGGCTGGAGACCATATCGGGTTCTGCATCCGGTTCACCGTTCGGACCTGCAAGTCCTGGCATGCTCACGTCTTTCACGGTAAATCGGACTCACGGCGGGCCTGACAACTATAACCTAAGCCTCAAACACGCTAGCTGAATCCAGACTAAAGCCTACGAATCGATGCAAAATTTACCATTATTTTTTTATGTACAGGCAGGAGCATTAGCCGGACTGGCAGTGGACATCACACTTTTCCCCCTCGACACTGTGAAGACTCGCCTTCAGAGTCAAGGCGGTTTCAGGGCTTCAGGGGGATTTCGTGGCATCTACGGAGGCATCGGACCGGCTGCCCTGGGTTCTGCTCCTAATGGCAAGCTTCACATTAGCCTTGCTGTTTAGAATATTAGAGACCTGTGCTTTTAATAGAACTAGATCTACCATAGGCCTGTTTTTCTGACAATTATTTATCAATGTAATTAGCTTCCTAACTTCATCAGCCCAAGTTGTAGCGAGTCTCAGACTGATATTTTAATAATAAACTAGTGATGTACAGCTTTTCCCAAATCCTTTTTTGTTTAGGCCTTTTTTTTTTACATTAATTCAGTCTATAAGAATCATTTATGTTCTACTATTTTGACTGGGAATATTGCTACCCACATCCATGAAACATTTTTCTTCAGTGTGCTTATGAGTCTCATTGTACTTTTTTGTTGCAATTAGGACTGTCTTGATGCATCAATTGTGTCGTCTTATATATGATAGGGGGAAGGGGGACATGAAAATAAACATTTATAATTGCATAACTGACAAGACTCCAGAGTCAGGATAGTGAATAAAGGAGGAATTTTAAGAAAAAAAAGGAAAAGGAGGAAGTAGGAGCTGAAGCTGAGATATTTCTTACTCATGGAAGACAGCAAAGTTCAGAAGTGGGACAGGATGAAGTGAGAATTTGTTTTAAAAAAAACTTCACCTTGCAGATTTTTCAGGGCTCTGCCCAGAAACTTTGCAGGATTGCCTTGGATGAGGATTTCTAGCCATGCCTTCATCTAAGGAAATCCCTTTTTGTTTCCCCATTAGTCATAACTTAATAGCAGAAGGATTTTGTTGATGCATCAATGCATACATGCAGTCTTTCAGTAATGGTACAGTTATCCTGTCAAAACTAAAATTGCAAGTTGTAGTCATGACATGCCTGATTTATCTGACTATTCATTGCCTTTGCAGTGGGTGGCACTCCTATTCAATTTCAAATGAATTGCATCTTTTCAGCTGCCATGTTCTTCTTAACTTATGAAGGCACAAAATCCTTGTTGCATGGACAGCTTGGGCACAAATGGACCCCTCTCACACACATGCTCTCAGCTGCTACTGGAGAAGTAGTGAGTGAGCTACTTTTTACAAAGATTCCTTCACGAGTGGGTGTTTGAGCCGTCCCTTCTTGCAGGTTGCGTGCATAGTACGAGTGCCAGTCGAAGTGATCAAACAGAGGAGACAGGCAAAGCAGCATTCAACCATGATGGATGCCGTCACGAAGGCCTACCGGCACGAAGGGGTCCGAGGGTTTTATAGAGGGTATGCGAGCACGGTGATGCGGGAAATCCCATTTTCCATCATACAGTTTCCCCTTTGGGAGTGGATGAAGGTCTCATGGGCTGCATTCTCACACAAGTCACAAGTGTCTTCAGCACAATCCTCTGTCTGTGGAGCAGTTGCAGGTATGGTTTTCATAAATTTGAAACCTTGCCTATTCTGCTCCAAGAGGCACAGTATGCCAGAGTTACTTAGCTACTTAGGAATGACTGAAATTTTTGATTGGGAAAGTGGTACCATTGCCCATAGTCAGATCTCTTACAGCACTCATGTACTTCTGCACAATTAGCTGTTTAAGCAGTTGATTTTAAATTTTAACTTTACATTTAAGGAGTAAACAACAGGGTGATAAGGAATATAGGATTCCACTCCTTCTTGATACATGTTAAGTATGATTGAAATTTCCTGTTTGGGGCAAGATAATGCAACAATAAAATATCTTTATTATGTAAAACACACGAGGAGCATGCTTCTAGTTTTGCCATTACCATCAGTGATATACAGGAATACCTATGCACTCTGATGCAGGAGGAATAGCAGCTGCAGTGACGACCCCTTTGGATGTGGTGAAGACAAGGATCATGTTGGCAGAAAGAGAATCTGTGATAGCAACAGGGAAGATTATCCCTACCCTAAGGACCATCTATGTTGAAAAGGGAATCAGAGGGTATGAAAAGTTTTTAATTTAAAATACTCCTTCCACCACTTCCGAGTATTTTCCCCATTTGACTTAGTATTTTCCTTGCCTTTCAGACTGTTCAGTGGTATAATCCCAAGGACCTTGTGGATCTCCCTTGGTGGTGCCATTTTCCTTGGAGTGTATGAGAAAGCAAAGGAGCTCATTCAAAGGAAAATTTCCTGATATCTGAGTGTCCTTTGGTGTTTCTTGAATGTGAGTAGTCTCAGTTAAATGAATTTTAAAATAAATACTCATTTTCAAAGTCGATTTTTCAATTCAAATATCAGGTTTCCTTTTCAGCTGGGTAGAGAAGATAAGTGAGAATGAAAATGAAAAACTGCCCTTTTACAAAGCACATATAAAACTCTGGAGGTTTTATTGACTCTGGAACACATGAAAAAATCATCGAAGTCATGCAAAAAGAAATTTCATCTCAGTGACATCAAGACAACTTCACTGGCTGGATTGGATAAATTCACTGATGGAGACATCAACAGGAAGAAATAATATCACAGAACATCCATGGAATAGATTGGAATGTGCCAAGGATAAGAAGATACAAAAAATACTATACCACAGGAAAATGTAACTCCTAGGTCATGCAACTATGAACATTTGTGCAATCATCAGTATGAGCCATCACCCAGTAAAACATTGCTCTTATCATGGGTAAGACTTACTCAGAAGCACTTATAAAGTGAAATCAGCTTGACTTCCACTGAAGACATGCTCTTCTTGATCATTTCTTTGTTCCAAGACAAAGACATTCATTGTCATTTTGCAATGCCCCTAAGCATTCCATGAAACAGGATGAGAGAGGTCTGCTGGTCCCTTTAAACTCTTTTAGGCAACTTCTCATGAACTTCCAATGTATCATGTAAATTAAACCTATCTCAAAGATAGATGTACTTTTTTCCTTCTTTTTTTTTTAACCTCTTGTCAGAAATGAGGTTTTCCACAAAATTGGTCCATATTGTATGATAACATGAAGGTTACAAGGACCAGGTTTTTGGTGATGATTCTTGTAATAAAAAAATGGAGAGTACCCATTACTAAAGAAGAAATGAATACCTGGGAGTTTAACTACATTAATGAAATTTAGCATAAGTTATAGTGTGCATAGATAGAAATCGATGAAAGCTTCAAGGTTGTAAGATGAATCTTTACAGGAGAACCTTGCCATTCACCTAGCCAAAAAGGTAGGTCTTGCTGCACAGGGAGGACATAACCCCTATTAAGTCATGAGTTCAGAGTATAGTGGTAACAGTAGTTGCTACCAGGCAATATCAGTTGAGTATTTGGTAAACTATAACTGGAAAGAGTTATCCTGTGGCCTTGACATTCATCATGATTTCTTTACATGCCACTGAAAATTCAGACAGTAAATGTCACAAGTATAGCTCTACTTCATGGTATTGCTTGGGGGCATCAAGTTATACAAATTTCATACTTCAAAAGTTAGAAAAACTACAAGCAGGCAAAATGTGTCATTCAATAGCCCCATTTTTCCTTATTACAAATGATTATTATAAATGTACAAATTAATCTTTCACTTTCTCTCTCTATATATATATTTGACATCTTTGCTGCTGCAGTTTGGAAGTTTGAGTATTTAATAAGGTCTGGATGAAGCAGTGAAAAATGCAAAAAATGAGACCTGGGAGTAACTTAAAACTGCAAATGGGCACAATGTACCATCACTTACAATGGTGCATAAGTGGTTTTAATGATTCCAAGACAGTAGGAAGAGCACTGAAAATGAGCAACTTTTACTGGTTGGTGAAAAACCTTCAAGAGGTTCATCTCTTGGAGGTTGCTCATCAACTGGTCCAGATCTTCAATATGATTTCCATCATCTGAGGATCATTTGAACCATGTCTATACCATGAGTGTTTAAATCATTGGTCATAGGATCTCTTTGACACTGGCAAATCAGGAATAGAAAGAGCAGCTGCCTGCCTTCTCAGCCTTAGCCAGATGGCAGATCCAGGGCATTCATAAAATTTTGAGGATCAAGAGTCAAAAGAAAGAGAGGTCCCGCCACTACTCTCTGTCCTCACTTCCCCTCTCCTCTCACAAATCACATAGCTTTCTCTCTAATCCCAGAGTCACCTGACACAATGCCCTTCTTTGCTTATCTCTCTCAACTAGTAATTTAAGGGAAGATACCCAAAAAGACTGCAAGCAACAGCACATTATTACCATGAGCAAGTTTGGGCAAATCCTGGGTCATAGCTGAGCATTTTCCAAACACCCAGGCTTCAATCATGCATAAACAGGGAAATGTAACTGCACTTTTAATGATCACACAGATATAGTTGGACAATTGCAAAAATATGACCCCAAATCCGATGCATAAAAACAAGGCTTTCAATGACACATATTGCAGGCAATGTTTCAACTTTTTTTTAACCCATCATATGCCTACAACCTAACGGTAACTCAGCGAAGAAGCAGAAATTGGAAGACCCAGCTGCAACTTCCTGAATGAAGACACCAAACACACAATGTCTGATGTGCTAATTGTTTTTTAGTCTACCGACCCAAATTCCATCATTGTCAATTTCCCAGAGAAATCTATCAGAATTTCTTAAGCTGAATGAACAAGTTGTAGACCAGCAAATATTCTAATCACACTGCCATCTATTAATTCAACAACAGAACAAGATGAAAATCAGTAACATAATGATTTACATGTTCATTTAAATAGTGAAAACAGGAACAAGGACATAATAACAGCAAGAATACTCTACAATATATTTGTGCTAAGGAATGTCAATGAAAACTTAAATACACAGGTTAAAGTACAAGGTTCTGAATAGTATCGATGAACAAAATATAATGACTGATGGTAACTGGGATTGACATTTGCTTGTAAAGTTTTCATGAATGAGTGACTCCCCTTCTTGCCACAAGAAGGTTCAGCACAGGATGCTTTCTGATGTAGTCAACCGCCTTCTTGTGAGTCACCATTGTGAAATCGTACCCATTGCACTGTGAGAAGACGATAATGTTTGATCATGAAAGCTGAGAGAAAAATGGACAAAAAAAAAAATCAAACCTGGAGAATCTTGTCGTGTATCTGGAGACCTGCTTTTGATGCTGGACTTCCCTCATGTACCTCTGTTACATATATTCCCTGCAATAAGTGCAAAATTCCAAATAGAGAAAATCTTTCCCCTTGGAAAATGGGGAGTAGGTGCCCTGAAACTCATAGGTACAATGTATTGAAGTTGTGCTAGCCTCTGAAAAATTAGAATCCTGAGGCTCTATAAGCCAAAAGAATTCACGCCATAGAGGACTGAAAAGAACTTCTTGAATTTAAAACATTCATGGATATCAGAATAAAAATAGGGGAGACAATGTCAATAACATATCCCTCTCAATATCCCATAAACAAAGGCAAGATCCCAATGTATGGGGTATGTGGCTGCATGACTTTATGGAACCTTGTTCATGGAATCTTTGATAGCATTGAAGTTCTTTCAGTACCTGTAAAGATGTAATGATGTGCTAAAGAGTGAGGCACAGATGGGCATCTCTGATTCCCAGAAGAGGCCAAGAGGTTGAATGCATAAAGACATCAAAGAATGAACCAGGCAAGATATTCTACATCAAGCTTTCATAACAGACTCAAACAAAGTTAAAAAGATAAGACAAGGTTGCCTATGTTGTTTCATCTATCACATTTTCTTATATCTAAGAGCAGAAACTTTTGGATTGCCCCTTGTATATATATATTCATCACCATTCCATAATTCAAATGCCTGTAGATTGTTGAGCCAAAGAGTTCATGAGATACAAGAATCTGCAACAATACCTCAAAAAGAATATGTAATGTTTTTCACTGATAGCAGCTCACATTATCAGTATATCCTTGAGGGCTTCTTCGAAAATCTTGATCAATTCCTCCTCCAATCTTAAATCCACACTTCATGATGTCATGACCCTCATGATCAATTCCTTTCTCCTTTTGAAGAGTGATGGGAATCTGAAAACGAAATTATTACCAGTGAAAACGAGATGCAATGGAACAGTCCCATTCCCTGGTGCTACTGTCAACAACACTTAAGAGACACCTAGTAACTGCAATTGTCATTTAAAAAATTAAGGGATAAAGTAATGAATCAGGTCCAAAGAAAATGTAACAGATAAGACATGGTAAAAGCAAACCTAAAAACAGGGTGATGAGAAAGGACACATATCCAACAGTTTCAGCAATGGCTGCCAAACATCTTTAGAGGCACTTGATTTTCTCAAAATCAACTTTCAAGAGGTGAATGCCATGTTATAAGTATTAGTATTTCTTTTTAAATTTAAATTGACAAATCAAGGGCATGGGCAGAAATGTTAACACCTTCACCAATTTCGTTAAATCAGAATATTCCTTAATTGTACTCAGGTTTGATTAAAACTTACATGCTGTAAATTTATGTTAAAGTGTGCTTCTACCTAAATGAAGATATTGTGTGGCATTGTAGCAATATCACGAGTCGTCGTCGCTAAGGTTTGTGTGGAATGTGGAAACCTTGAAAAAATACGCATTTTATATCCTGTAGGCCTATTGTGGTTCATTGCGTAACATCTGCTGCTACTCTCGAGCCGATATGCCGAAGTGTGCAATTTTCGGCCTAACACACAGAACCCTTCATTTGAATATTCTTATGAACCTACAAGCTAAAACTCACGCTTAAGCATTCCATTGCAGTTCCAGGTTGATGTTCAAACGCCATGGCCCAACTTGCTCACAATCCCCTAAGAGGTCCAGGGGAAGGTTAAGACGGGAGTGAAATGTACCTGCGTCCGTGTCTGCATGGCGCCATGAGAGCGGCCAGTGCTGCCGGATCCCACTTTTAGCACGGACGGATCACGGCCCCCTTTAAAAGGTCTGAGTGCATGCTTCATAAGGTGTGTTTACACAGACACGTATCATAATGCAGTATTTATTACACTTGGTGTTACAATAGAAAATGATAGAGAAAAATGATAATTTTTTCCAAGTACTTACTTACATATATTGTTTATTCACACACCCACCTCGTCCCTGCTTAGTTGCTTTGAGGCGACCCTTGTGCGCATGTGTGGAGCGCCTTCACAGCGCATCTAAGAGAAATTGCTGGAAGGGCCTTCCGACTCCCTCTAAGGAAGTTCCAAAAAAACTCTTTCCACATTTCTGCCAAGAGCGTTAACGTAGACTTATATATGCAGCACGACGAAAAGGAATTCGACCAAACTCGCGCGAAACCCTGCATCGGTCAAGCTGAAAGTGAATTAATTTCTTGGAGCCGAAGAAGGCATCGCCCTCGACGGAACCTAGCTCTCCGTCTCTCCATCATGCGAAGGAGATCGTGGAAATCCCGTCGCCTCGATTCTGCAGGTCGTCGGTCGACAGGTTTTCCTGGTATTTTCGAGTAGGCATGAAATGAGAGTTTCACCAGATCATTATTCCAGCGATGGCACTTTCCGCTATCGAACCTCTGCGACGTACCATAATTTCGGTGAAACCGGACACCAAGTACTACAGCAAAGCACAGGCGCCCCGAAAGTACCAAGACTTCCACTTCCTTACCCGGCGCATGTGCACGCCGGAATCCCGCCTTATCGGAGTTGATAAGAGCCAGCGCTCCCCACTCCGAGCGATCGGCCTCGCCTTCGTCTCGCTGGATTTTCCTCGTCGGTGAGTCGACTACGCTTTATATATCTCTAAGTGTGACTTTGTCCCATGCGACTGCTCACACGGCTGCGATTCCCGCGAGCACTGGCAGTTTCCCTGCCGAAGCAAAAAAATCGAGAATGCCATTGCTTCCAAATCGTCGGAGACGGTGTCGAAGCGAGAGCAGACTGCAAAGGAGGAAATATGGTTAACATTTTCCATTTCGTTTCTTGCGAGGAGTTCTTGCCTACTAGATCTGCCACGATAAACGCTGCGTTCCGTAAAGATGTTCATGCATGAGGAATTCCATCCGTTCATCCAACAGACTGGAGAGATGGCGCTAGTGCAGCTCGTAACCTCAGCAGTATATGCACCAGCGTCATCTATCTATTCTCGGATGAACTATGAAGGAGGAGACCATTCCCACTCCAGCTTATCAGCGAGCGCCATTCCTTTGAGCAGTCGTGCATGGGCAAACTCGTGGCGTCTGATCGCGCGTTTCACGGTTCTCGATCGAATTCCCTTTTTGTTAAAGGCCGGGAAGATGGTTTGGACGTCGGGCGCCAGATCCGGCGACGAGCTGGAGCATCCGGAAGCGGAAGGTAAACGTTTGTCGCCGGAAGATCGTCGCTTCGTCGTCGCGAACGGAAAATGTATTTAGAAAATGTGGCTTAGGTATTGTAGTGGCAGGGAGATGCCATAGCTGCCGCGAAGACATCACGGACGTCTGCTACAAGTGCGTGGAGTGCGTGGACTACATGATCTGCTCCACGTGCGAGGCGGACGGGATCGTCCACACGGGGCACAACATCATCCGGGTCACCACGGCCATGGCTCGCCTCTACCATCATGTGTCAGGTGGGGGGGCACTTTGTCAGGTGGGGGAAGGTGGGGGGGGGGGGGGGGGGGGGGGGTCTTCGTGGGGTGTTCTTTTGGTGTGGAGGAGAATTGCTTCTGAATTGCAATTTTGGACTTAATGATGAGAAATTTCCGTCTTGTTTTTGGCCGGGGCGTTTGCTGGGTTTTGCGTTTCACGAGGGCGTGTCGATAGACAGGCTGCATGTTGCGTGCATGTTGATAGAAACTGGTTAACATCATGGTGTGTCATTTAATCATTATCATTTAAAAAAAAAAGTAAGATAATGGGGTAACGTCTCCCCGGAGTGAATGGTGAAGATAAAAATAATAGGAAACATCCGATCCACGTGCTACCCTTGAGATTCAGGAATGAACACTTCTAACGCAAGCTGAATATTTAATTTCCGACAGGAGACGTCCACGCCGACATCCGTTGCTTCTCCTGCCGCGGCCCGGTGCGCGGAAGCCGCTACAAGTGCCTGGAGTGCAGGGACCTGGACCTCTGCGCCTCGTGCGAGGCCAGGGGGAAGGAGCACTCCCATCACCTCTTCATTCGGCTCCCGTCTCGCATCCCGGTCGTCCCGCTCACGCCGGACCTGGATGGCGCTGCAGGCGAGTCTGCTCCGCTCGTTTCAGGGCTTCCCGGAGGGGGGGGGGGAACCGAGGCCGACTTCAATAGTTTCTTAACGCAGTTTTTTTTTTTTAATGCTGTCGTCCTGTTTTTCATTCCTCTTGAAAGATTCAAACAAAAATCTCTGTTGCTGCAAGTAACACGGGATGCAGGTCTAAACTCAAGATTCAGCAACTTTCAGCACCATATCTAAGAGTGTCGACACTTTGCCCTGTTGAAAGACTAGAATCATCGTTGTCAGTCATTGTTGAACTTGGGAAGGATTTCGTTCCTCGGCCTGTGTACCTGACACTGCTCCTAGTTGCTCAAGTGCACATTTAGACAGTTTTCAGCTTTCTCGGCATGTTTTTTTTTATAGATCGATAGATAGATAAAAATTTATAGATCATCCTGCTCTATCAATTCGATTTTGACTTAAAAAGAATTTAAGGTAACTGTATGGCCATGTGTTGCTGTAAACCTCCCTTACAGCACAATCAGCGAGGTAAATGGGCGTGGTATTGCGCCAGAATCAGTTAAGTGGTTCATGAATTTCAAGTTCGCCTTCGAACATCCGATCGCGAGAATCACCGCAGCCGCAAGCAAGCGAAAAGCTCTTCTCTGTTTCCTCGACTGGTGTGTGACTTGCATTCGTCTAGAATTGCAGCGAGGGGAACAGCCGCCATCCGTTCTGGAATCCATCGTTGCGGTCAGTCTTACCTGCAAAGAAAATCTATGCAGCAGAGGGATCCCTTAAGATATTCCGACTTCAGAAGCGCTCAACGACGTCCTTGCATACCCCTTTAGATACTTTATTTCTCATACCCCAATGGAGACTTAGCAAGTAGATGACGACTCTAACGCCCCCCTTCCCCAACAGAAGAACCGCACCCCGGCATCTGGTGCGCCTCCTGCGGCGAAATAGTGAAAGGGAGACGATTCCAGTGCCTCGCCTGCCCCGGCTTCGACCTCTGCAGCCGATGCGAGAAGTCGGTGGAGCCGCACCTCGTCCACCCCATGATCCGCTTCTCCAGGCCCGGCGCCTTCACGCTCAGGCCAACCACGATCCTCAACGAAGGTAATTCCGATGCGCCAGGTCGAGCGACGCATCCCAGACTTTTTAGCATAATTTTCCTGTCCTTTTTGAGGCCTGCATCGAGGCGTGAACTGCAACGAATGCGGCCAGAGCGTGACGGGCTACCGCTACAAATGCCTCAAGTGCCAGGACTACGACCTCTGCATGAAATGCGAAGCCGCTTCCAAGCACCTTCACCATCGCCTGGCCAGGATACCTCCCATACGTGAGTCGTCGATCCCGAAGCGCCGAAGAAAGGGACCGACTCCGTCAAAAAGATCGAAACTCTGACAAAAAGTTCGGATTCACTCGATCCAAATAATGATAATACCTTCAAGTTTGAAATTGGCGCAGACGGAATTACCCTACTTTTGAAAATAATTTTCTTATTGGAGATTTTGTCGCCTGAGAAACGGACTTAAATCCCCTTTTCCCCCACAGCCACAACCGAAAGACCTACCCCTTACACGGAGACCCGCCAAAGCGAGCGCCCCATCGGTGAGGCGCAGAGAGACTCCATCTCCCCTTCTGCCTCCACCTCGGAGCAGGAGCTGCACCAGCAGCTGAAGCAGCGACTGTCGGACCTTCACGCCGCGAAGAAACAGGCGATCGCCGCTTCGACCGAGATGGCGCGGAAGGAGCACGAGCAGAGGATGGCGATCCTCGCCGAGATCCGCGCTCGCATCGGCGGTACGCCGGTGGTGGAGAGCAAGTGAACGGCATCGACTGGAGAATTCATCATCGAACGAAATCCCTTGCGTCGGGCGAGTCGCGAATTTATCGCGAATCTGCTATGTCCAGTTACGCGAGGACTGAATTTTTGTCTGCACAAAAAGCAACGAAATTGCAGCATACAGGAGAAAATAATTGGTCAGTTGTTTGACGTGTGACTTGTGCAAACATGAAGTTTCACAATTATGCTGAGTTCTTCAGACCTCAAGATGTTTAAAATCCCCATTCGAAGACAGCTGCACGATTATACGCGCTCCATGACGGCAAGGAAGCATCCCCATATCTTCCTTGCGTTTCCACAGTGAATTAAAAACAAGTCCCTTTTTGGATCTCGTGCTTGGTGCGCTCCAAAAGTCGGTCTTTCGTGTGTCTAAGACTTTCGTGTGTTTGCTGGAGGCTATTTACAGCGATTCGTACGTTTGCTTTGGCTATTCCTCGTATTCAAGCTCGCATTTGAGTGCATTGTCAGGTCATATGTGCAAGCGCAAATAAATTCCTGTTGAGATATCCTACGGAGAATCTTCGTTTCTCTCCAATAAGTTCAGTGTTTGAAGGAGCAGCTCAAGGCATGGGACCAGGAAAACGCAACCCAGTCTTCACGAGACCGGTCAAACAGCACGATCCACTTGAATATAAAGGGAAATACATGCGCGACTCATCAGGGCTCTTGACAGGTCTTCTGTCCATCAGATTGGTCAAAAATCGCCGATTTAACAAAAAATAACAGGAATCTTCTGAATCTCTGAATCTTCTGGACACTTGGGGTGACAGCCGACCGAGACGTCAGTTGCCTTGGTGACGGCACCGCATCTGCCTTTAGATCCCGTAGCCTTTTGGATTCCTGGTTGGCACGGTGGGTGGAATACCATCGTCGTGTGAGATGACCAATATCATGAGAAATGTTAAACATACAAAATTTATTTCCCGAAAGTTTCATGCGTCTAGGTTGCCTGAATAAAAACGAAAGTCGTTGAAAGTGAAGTCATAAAATGTACCTTTCCCGTGAGAGAGACGGATGGAGTTTCGGTACTGTTCGAATGAATGATTACTCTCCTATGATATCACGAAGTTTGCTTTTAATAAAATGCACTCACTACGTCGTAGAAAAGTACTACGTCAGCGTACGTAAGTACGTCGCAGCATCAGATTCGATATTGTGCAGAATAGTACGACAATGGCATAACAAGCTGGGAAAGCCGAGTCTAGTAGTGGGCCTCTTTTCAATGATGGGAACCCTCACTTTGTCACCTATTTCAACAAAATTGCCTTCTCTTCTCGGTGCTCGGCCGCCACAAATATCATTCTCAGTTTTGTGGAAATTTGCCATGAAACGCACTCAGCCTGTATCTTGTCTATATCTACCATTGTCAATTTTCGCAGTGATGAGACCTTCCTTCTTTCTTCATTTCTTCGTCATCGTTGGACGTCAAAAGTGTGAACAGACTAAGACAGACGGACAGGACGGAAAGAATGGAGCCATGAGTGGTCTAATTCCTTTCAGGGAAGGAGGCCCACTAAAAATATGCAAAATAAGTATGTGTAAGGGGAGAGAAATTGGGCAATGATGAAAATACACCTGAAGCGCGGAAACGGTACATTTTATGGCTCCACTTTGAACGACTGCTGCTTTTCATTCAAACCACATAGACACATAAAACTTCCAGGAAACGAAATTTACAGTGTTTCCAATGGGTTTCGAAAAAATCAGGGCTGCAAAATTATGCTCGGATGGGATTTTGTTAATTGCGTGCTTGGAAACGTTACCTGCGCCGTGGCCGCGAGGCAGGGGTCAATCGCGAAACCGAGCAAATTTCCATTTGTTGGCTCTACACCCAAAGGAAAAAGGAGGCTGTTTCATCGGCAGCATAAGCCATGCGGAGAGATGTTAGAATTGGCTTTTTGCCAACCCTTACGAAACCCTTACGCAGAGTTGTACAGGATTCCTATAGGAATGTATAGGACACCATTAGGAATCCAATTGGCTATTAATACGTCAAAAACAAGTATTATTCCTATAAAAATCATTTAGTATTCCTATAGGAAAACAAAGGAAACCTTTGAGATTCTATAGGTTTCATAAAAGATCTCAGTAGATCCCCGAGAATTCTAAAAAAATCCGATAGGAAACATATGAGAACCTATAGGATCCTAAAGGATCCCTAAAAAATACGATGATTTTCTATCGGTACCCTTTAGGATTCTATGGGAAATTTCATCATCAACGATAGCAAAACCCAATTTCACGCAAATATGATGGATCCGGAGAAAGCATCACAATAACATAAAGGACACACATTGAACGAATTTGATTGATACCTAAAGGAACTTCTCAAAAGGGAAGCTAAGTAAAAATGATTTTAAATGTATTTATCAAGAAAAAAAGCAAAGTTATCAAGTAAAAGTTATCAAGAAAGTACCAGCACAGGGACAGATGAGCCATTCTAAAGCTGATATGATTCAAATTTGGCCGCAGATGAACTCGATTTCAGCACCAGAAACACTAAGAAAAAGCATAATACAAGCATAAAAACTCGCAGAAATCGAAAATCCTTTGATGATATTAAGCTCAAACCGTGAACATCCGCTTCGAATAGTGTTTCACAGGAAGGAAATCGCATCTTCATGCAGACACGACCATTACTGGAGAAGATCAAAGTATCATGAAGGACAGAACATTTTGCATTTAATATAGGGCGCTCAAGACTGCTTCCTTCGTCGCGAATAAAGTATCACAGCTGAGAAATCGATACTTCATAAAGACTTTGTGAAAAAGTCGAACACATAGAATCGCTGAGGTCGAAAGGTCGAAACATTATACATATTAGCTAAAGTTATGAAAGTAGGCTTCTTCCCACAATGTTTCGGTGAAGTTGAATTTCTTTCTTCATATTTTACCTTTGGGGCGCAAACCATGTAAAATCGTCGCGAATACTATAACACAGCAAAGGAATCGCTATTTCATACAGACACGAAACTTTCAAGAAAAGATTTACTTTTTCACGAAGAAAACACAGAGGACAAAACTATCCCCCTTATTAGGTTAACGAGCTGAAACTGTAAATTCGTCACGAAATCGGTATCAGAGCTAGGAAATCACTGCGCAAAAACTAGAAAAAAAACCACTAAGAAAAAGCATAACTCCAGCACAAATATCCAGTGAAGTAGAATGTTTTTTAAATTTGAGCTGTGGGTGTGAAAGAACCACGTCAAATCCTCGCGAATGCTATGAAAGAGATTGAAAATCGCAATTTCACTCGGATACGACCATTTCTAAAAAAAAAACCTTATTTCAACAAAAAGAATAAAAGAACTTGAAACTTTCCCATTCTAGCTCCTGGTATAAACCAAGTTCATCTGCCGCGAGTACTGTATCCCAGCTAGGAAATAGCAGCGTCCCACAAATAGGTACCACAAAGTAAGTGCATCCCTCTAAGCACAAAAAATCGCAAAAGTCGAAACGTTACCCATTTTTTATAGGAAGGTGAAACCTACATTTTCCATCGCGAATACTGCATCAAAAATGGGGAAACGCTATTTAAAGCACATACGACACTTTGTGAAAAAGGTACACTCATGCACAAAGAATCGATGAGGATAAACTTTTCCCATTGTACCTATAGGAATGAAGCCTGTTTCCTCCGTGGCGAAAACTGAATCACAGCCAGGAAAACGCTATTTCACAAGGATACGACTCTTTCTCAAAAAGCATAATTGCAGCACAAAGAATCGCTGAGGTCCAAACTTTTCCCATTTTACCTTTTGGCGTGAAACAGACTTCTTCTGTCGCGAATAAAGTATCACAGCAAGGAAATAGCAATTTCACACCGAAACGAATCTTTCTGAAAAGCCACAACTTCAAAACAAAGAATGCTTGAGGTCGAAACATTTCCCATTCTAGCTATGGATATGAAACCAAAAATCTCCGTGGCGAATACAGGATCACAGCTAGGAAAACGCAATTTCACACCGATATGACTCTTTCTGAAAAAGCATAATTTCAGACCAAAGAATCGCAGTGGACGAAACTTTTCCCATATTAGCTATAGGAATGAAAATAATTTCTTCTGTGGCGAATACAGAATCACAGCTAGGAAAATGCTTCTTCACACAGATACTGTATGACTCTTAAAACGCTCCATTTCAGCAAGAATCGCTCAGGTAAAATTTTTTCCTATTACAACTTTTGGCGTGAAAAATGATTCTTCTGTCGCGAATACAGTATCACAGCAAAAGAATCGCCATTTCAAACAGATGCGCCACTTTCTGAAAAGCCACAACTTCAGCCCAAAGAATCGCTGAGGTCGAAACATTTCCCGTTGTAGCTATAGGGATAAAACTAATTTTCCCCGTGGCGAAACCAGTATCGCAGCTAGGAAATCGCAATTTCACACAGATACGACTCTTTCTGAAAAGCCACAATTTAAACATAAAGAATCCCTGAGATAGAAACTTTTCACATTGTAGCAATAGGAATGAAACGAACATAACATCACACCTAGGAAACATGAAAAATGCTTCTTCCGTGGCGAATGCAGCATCACAGGTAAGGAATCACCATTTCACAAGGATACGACACTTTCTCAAAAAGCATAATTTCAGCACAAGGAATCGCGGTGAAAGAAATTTTTCCCATTTTAGCTAGAGGGAAAAAAATTAATTTACTTCCGTGGCGAATGCAGCATCACAGCTAGGTAATCGCTATCTCACAAATATACGACCCTTTCTGAAAAGCAAAGAATTTCAGCACAACAAATCGCTGAGGTCGAAACTTTTGCCCTTGTACCTTTTGGCGTGAAACATGCTTCTTCTGTCGCGAACACAGCATCCCAGCTAGGAAAACGCTTTTTCACACAGATACGACACTTTCTGAGAAGCCACAATTTCAGCCCAAAGAATCGCTGAGCTCGAAACATTTCCCATTTTAGCTTTTGGCGTGAGACATGCTTCTTATGTCGCGAATACAGTATCGCAGCTAGGTAATCGAATTTTACATAGATACAACTCTATCTAAAAAGTAATCACAAAAGCACAACGTATCGCTAAGGTTAAAATTTTTCTCAATTTAGCTTTTCGCGTGAGACATGCTTCTTCTGTCGCGAATACAGCATCACAGCTAAGTAATCGCAATTT